TTCCTTCCTTCCTTCCTTCCTTCCTTCCTTCCTTCCTTCCTTCCTTCTTTCTCTTCGGGCAGAGTCTTGCTCTGTTGCCAAGGCTGAAGTGCAGTGGCGTGATCCAGGCTCACTGCAACCTCCTCCCATGTTCAAGCAGTTCTCCTGCCTCAGCCTCTGGAGTAGCTGGGATTACAGACACACGCCACCACACCTGTAGCTGGGACTTTTCTTTAGAGCTTTCTCTTGCTCTTGTCCCCCTCAAAACCTGGAATCATTTTGAGTTATTCATTAAGTGGATTGAAATAGTATACTCAAATATGGTATATGTTGATCCCAAAATACAAAAATGCTCACCAAGGGTTGTTCTTTTTAAGCTGAAGTTAGCTTAAAATACAGCAGTTTTTCTTTCACCTTGGAAAGGATATCTCAATGTGCTCTCAACAACCGGACTCCAAGAAACTTCACTGAGGCGGTGAGCTTTTTAATTTTTGTAGAGTTTGTTCCTCACCCGGGAGTTCATTGATGCTTTACTAAGTCCTCTAAGGTGCTTGTTACTTCCTGCTCGTTGCATGTAACCAGCATGAGGTCATTGATGTAGTAGACTGCTATGATGTTGTAAGGAAAGTCAAGATGATTAATGCCATAAGTATGTTAGGACAGAGAGCAAGATCGTTGGCATAGCCCTGAGGCAGTGCTTGGCAGGTTCCTGTTGGCTATGCTAGGTCGAGGAAAAGTACTTCTGGTTGCCTTGATATAGGGAAAAATGAATTTTCACGTCAGTAGTTGCATACCAGTTGCCAGGGGCTGTATTCATTTGCTCCATTCAAGATATGACATTTGGAATATCATCTCCAGTGGAGGTCACCACCTGAATTCATTTAAAATAATAATACTTAATTGTCCTGTTATACTCTAAGATTTATCTGCGTTCTCCACAGGAAAACAAGTAAGCTCAATGGGGAGATGGCTGGTATCATCACCCAGCTTTTTCCAAGTCTCTGACAATGGCACCCATCTTCAAAATTTTCCCATCAATATAGTCTTATTTTTTATTTACTATTCTTATACCAAGGGAAACTTCTGGGGGCTTTACCTTGGCCCTTTTTACCAAATGAGCTTTATTCCTCAGGCCAGTGTGCCAATGTAGGAATTCTGCCAGTTGTCAAGTATGATTATTCCAATTTTGCATTCACAAATTGGGGAATTGGTCTGCAGGTTCACTGGATCCACTGTGGTTCAAATGTAGACCAAGATTCTACCTATCACCTGGCCACCAAAAGTCACCATTTTTGATTGGAGGACCAGGGCATTTAGGTCTCTAGAAAGCAGTGGCAACTTAGTGTCTAATAGCTCCTGTGATTGGTAGAATGTCAGCCTCCAAGGCTTATGAGCCCTTGTGTTATGACCATGAATACGTTCTGCTCCATAACAAAAGGGGCATTTCAAATGTAATTAAGGTTACTAATCAGTTGACTTCAAGATAGTGAGAGTATCCTGAATTATTCAGGCGGGCCCAATGTAATTATATGCACCCTTAAAGACAACTTTTCTATCAGTCAGCATTTCATGAGAAGACAAAAACCATGCCAATTATTGGAACACGGACGTAGCAACTGCAGGAACCAGCTACTGACTCTAGGGTTGAAGGAACAAAGGAAGAGTTAAGAGTCATTAAAACGTATAAGTTTAGAGGATGAGTCCTGCAGAACTAAAAGTTGTATTTTTTCTTGACATGTTCTGATGTCTCTGAACTTGGAGGATAGTCCCAGCAGATCTGACTCAGACCTCTGAGGATAGGGTGCTGTCTGGCTGGAGCAAGGCCTAACATGGAGAGCTGGAAAAGCAACAATGTGGCTTGCAGATTTTATCAACTAACATGGAAAAGCTGAGTATAGAAGGGAGAGAGTGGAGTTCTGAGACCACAACTTAACCAGCAGCACAGAGCAACTTATTCTGAAGCCCACAGTCTCTGAAATAGCCGTCTTTAAATCTTATAAACTTTCCCACACTTTCCTTTATATCTATTCTCTTAATTTTATTCTCTCCATAAATTTGGGAGTCAGACAGAGTTGCACTCAGGTTTCAGTTTTCTTTCTAAACTTATAAATTATGCGACTGTAAGCAAGCTATTTAGCTTTTAGACTTACTTATCTACGAGCCAGGATCACCATATCTATTTCACAGGATTGACACAAATGTTATGTGAACCAAAGTTTGCATGATGTGTACTCGGCAGGTGCACAGCATATGGTACTAACAAGGCTATGCTGGTTCACCTCCTTCCCCTTCAGATGTGTCTTCTCCATCACTCTTCCTCCTTTTCTTTCAGCCTCTTGTACTTAGCCTTTTTCACTGTGTCTTCTTTCTGTCTTTTTGCCTCTATTTTGTTCTTTTCTTCCCTTTTTCATTCTTTTCTCCATCCTTTAATACCTTAATTCATCTTCCTTCATCCCTTTCATTGTCTACCTACCCTTACATGACCAATGATCTTCAATAAAAGAAAGGTTCCCACTTTTGGACTTGGAAATGTGTGTCTTTTTGCCATTACTTAACTGTTTAGTGCACCTTATGTCTTCTTTGGTGTCATATATAGGAAACTGCCATTTTGAGCGCTTACTGCAGTTTATTGCATAGTGTAATGAAGTGCAGTAACATAATCTTTGCCCACTGAAGCCTCTGCCTCCCAGGTTCAAGTGATTCTCCTGCCTCAGCTTTCTGAGTAGCTGGGACTACAGGTGTGCACTACCACACCCAGCTAATTTTTTTTGTGTGTGTATTTTTAGTAGAGACAGGGTTTCACCATGTTACCCAGGCTGGTCTTGAACTCATGAGCTCAAGTAATCCACCGGCCTCAGCCTCCCAAATTGCTAGGATTACAGGTGTGAGCCACTGCTCCTGGCCTCAAGTAGACGTTCTTAAATTATAAGCAGTTAAACCAGATGATGTACAAGTGAAAACAAAGACCAAGTTTTCTTTGCCTAGTACATAATGTTTATTAAGAAATGACAGAAGATACTGTATCACAGATATAACTGAAATAGTCCAGCAGGCAAGATCTTTATGATTCAAAAGCCGAGGAATGGATCAGATGTTAAAATGTAGAAAGTCCAGCCTACTTCTTAGAAGCTGAATGTTGGGTGATGAGCTTCCATTTTCTCTGGTGACATCCAAGGAATGTCACTTGGGTATAATTTGGTGTCTTTGATGTTGCAAAAAAATTTAGATAAACAGAAGATAAAAATAGATTATAAAGCATGGAAACATTAGACTTGTGGATAGTTCTCATGGATAAATTCCACAACATGTCAGTAATTTTTAATCCTACAGAAATATGAGAAATAGTATATCCCAAGCAAAATTGATGATCCGTAGATGGCTTTGTAGTCTTTCTGTGTCCCCAGTGAAGGGTCAAGGTATTCATTGTAGAATGGAATCAGGCAGAATTGTGAGCTCATATACTTAGTAGTCTCCATCACGGGAAAAGCAATAAAAGTCTGAGAACTTGCTAGTGGTCCAGGAGTGGTCAAGAGATGAACAGTTCAGAGATATTGTGACCTATGCAACTGAAAATAAGCAAACTGGCTTTCAACAAGCGGGCTCACAGCATGAGCAGCAGCAGACTGGGCGGCAGCAGGACTGTCCACAGTAGGATGGGCGGCAGCAGGAGGCCTGGGCGTGGTGCAGCTGGCAGCAGGATGGAGGCGTGCAGCTCACCACACAGCAGGGGGGCAGGCTGGTGCCCTCCACGCGGCAATCTGGGCGGCACCACCTGATACGGGCGCTCACAGCTCCATGGCCACCCTCCTGGCCAGAGCCAATGCCACAGCCGGTTCCGCAGGAGCTGGTCTGGCAGCAGCTTGGCTGGCAGCAGCTGGTCTGACAGCAGCTTGGCTGGCAGCAGCTGGAGCCGCAGGTCCCACCGGTGGAGCAGCTGGGAAATCCGCAGAAGCTGGTCTGGCAGCAGCTTGGCTGGCAGCAGCTGGTCTGACAACAGGCCATGGTGTCGGGATTTGGGTTGAGAGTTAGGTTGCTCAGAGGAGTTTCTGAGTTTTGGTGGTGACTTCCACACTGGCCCTTTTATATATCTGAGCGAGCTGCTGTTTACAAAATTCTTAACATATTTTCTTTGTTTTTGTTTAAATTTGTTTCTCAGTGGATCTCTGATTGGCTTACATTGAAATACTTATGACACATTGTGAGCAACAGTTTAGAAATTACTCTGTTTTATAGTTTCTTCGGGACTCCTCATGTCAGTCCTTTGCTCTTTGGAGTATGTTTGTGGTTTCCCATGTTCAAAGAGTCCTTCCATCTTAGTCCAAATACATGCTCTCATTTTACATATTAGTTATTCCATGTGACAATCTATCCAGACCTCTAAGGCTAAGAGTAACAATTGTGCTGCTTTATTTAATTATTATTTTTTCTTTTTTAAAAAAATTTATTTTATTGCATTTTAGGTTTTGGGGTACATGTGAAGAACATGCAAGATTGTTGCATAGATACACACGTGGCAGTGTGATTTGCTGCCTTCCTCCCCATCACCTATATCTGGCATTTCTCCCCATGCTATCTCTCCCCAACTCCCCACCCCCCAGTGACCCTCCCCTATTTCCCCCCAACAGACCCAAGTGTGTAGTCCTCCCCTCCCTGTGTCCATGTGTTCTCATTGTTCAACACCCGCCTATGAGTGAGAACATGTGGTATTTGATCTTCTGCTCTTGTGTCAGTTTGCTGAGAATGATGCTTTCCAGGTTCATCCATGTCCCTACAAAGGACACAAACTCATTGTTTTTGATGGCCGCATAATATTCCATGGTGTATATGTGCCACATTTTCCCTGTCCAGATTTAACTATTATTTTTTCTTCCTGGATATATAGGCTAAATCCTATTGAATTTTGGATATCAGGATATCTACTGAACTGAAAGAGTACCTTTGGTCATGCATAATTCAAAGATTTCACCTTGTTTTATTCCAATGTCATATTGAATTACTGATTATAGTTCCTTTAATTTCAACCAATTTGGAATGTGTAAATATTATTCCTGTTCCAGGGCAGAAATCTTTTCTCGGGAACCAAATTGACACAGGATATAGGAAGGTATCCAGCAGAATGCTTAGCTTGTGGTTGAACCTTAAATGTTTATTGAATCTGATTCAATAAATGTTTATTGAATAGGTGGAGTAAAAGGCATGATTCATGGTTGTCAATACCACTCATACATGATTAAAGAGAACTTTCAAGCTGTAGTACCTCTCATGAAAGAGTCTTGTTATTTGCTGTAAAATGACTAAGAAATGTGTGTTTTCTTTTTTAAATTAAGTAGTTGAACTGGGCTAAGGAAAAAACATCTAGGAGTTAAGACACTTTGAAGAATGTACTGCCATCTACTTTATTCCTCTCGGAAATTGCATAATCTTGTGTATAATCCATCATAGCTACCAATTAAATGATAGAGGTAAGTTCTGGGCGCTTGTAAATAATATGGAAAATGTGTTTCTTAGTATGTTCTATATTTGTATACTATTGTATTTTGTATATTGCATTCTAATGCCTAATGAAGAATTTAAAAATTAAACAGTAAAAGCTATTTTGCTTTGTTCTAGGTTGTGTCAACTTCTTAAGAGCACATCTTCTAAGTTGGGTTGCAAAGTACAAAATATAACAGAGCTGTTTCAGATTTCTAATGCATCTATCTGACAAATGGCAATGGTAGAACTCAGTGGGCGCTTTTATAGCTGTTTGTTCTACTGTCATTTAGACTAGAGATTTACCTTATGCATACCTACATCGAATGAAGGTGAATAGTGGGAGTTGAAGCTTAGAGAGCAATTCAGGGATCAATGGGAAGAATGTGAAAGTCTAAGGTATAAAAATTAAAATTTTCCAAAATACTCTTGGAAAATAGGTAATATCTAGTAGATATTTTAAAATCTATTTAGAAGGCAGTACAATTTCTTTAGATGTTGGGCATAAATGAAGGAGAACATCTAGCATATTAAATGGAAGGAGACAAAAGATGGTAGAAGTACATTCAGGTAGAAATCAATAGCTTTGATCAACCTTAAAATTTTAGCTACAGGTCAACCTTTATTGGTCTAGACCTAATCATAATCGATTAAAGCATGTAAGTATTTGAATAACTATAAAAATTTATTTAATTCATGGAGCACTTTTAAGCTGATGGATTCAAGCATAATTTATTTTGTACTTCATTTTTCTGGTTTAGACTTTATGAGTATGCCTTGGTATTATTAATAAAATGCAAATCCACTCTTGAATTTCAACAATAGGAAGACACGCTTAAAGGTAGAAGGACGTAACTCAGTTTGCTTTGCACATTAAGATATATAACTTGAATTAATCGGTGATATTCAAGGAAAAACCAGGTCTGAAGATGCATGGTCATCAAGAGAGAGTCAGGGGAGCAGAGATGTCACTGAAATGATGAACTATTCCATCCTGGTCCTCTGCTCAAGCAAGGCAAGCTATCCAGAACACTGATTCATACATGTTTCAGTGAACAAATTCAGCACATCCACAGTGTGCTAGCTAGGAGTTTCTTGATTTCTGAACAGCTTAGCAACATCATGGTACTTAGCATCCAAGTAAAATTGAACAGTTCTTCAGAAATCAGCATAATTTTGCTGTGCTTCCCCTTTCATCCTTAATTGATCAGCAACCTGGCTTTTAGCAGGTGGGCTCACGGCAGTGGCAGCAGCAGGCTGAATGGCAGCAGGACTGTCCACAGTAGGATGGGCTGCAGTGGTAGGCCTGGGTGTGGTGCAGCTGGCAGCAGGATGGGGGCATGCAGCTCTCCAGGCAGCAGGGGGTCAGACAGGTGACCTCCATGCAGCAGTCTGGGCGGCGCCACCTGGTGTGGGAGCTCACAGCTTCACAGTCACCGTCCTGGCCACAGCCAATGCCACTGCCAATGCCACAGCCACCCTCCTGGCCACAGCCAGTGCCACAGTCTGGTAGCAGCTGGTCTCACAGCAATTTGGCTGGCAGCAGCTGGAGCCACAGGTCTCACTGGTGGAACACCTGGTCGTGGTGTCAGGAATTGGGTTGAGAGCTGTGTTGTGAAGAGAGGCTTCTGAGTTTGGGCTGCATCTTCTATGTCTGTCCCTTTATATGTTCCCTAGAGCTGCATATTTACCTAACATCTTTCCATGATGTCAATTTCAATGTGAGTCTCTGGCTAATACCTGAAGTGTTTAGAAAGTTATAAATTAAACTAAAGAGCTTCTGCGCAGCAAAATAAACTACCATCAGAGTGAACAGGCAACCTGTAGAACAGGAGAAATTTTTTCAATCTATCCATCAAACAAAGGTCTAACATCCAGAATCTACAAGGAACTTAAACAAATTTACAAGAAAAAAACAAACAATCCCATTAAAAAGTAGGCAAATAATATGAACAGACACTTCTCAAAAGAAGACATTCATGCGGTCAACAAACATATGAAAAAAACTCATCATCACTGGTCATTAGAGAAATGCAAATCCAAAACCACAATGAGATACCATCTCACACCAGTAGAATGGCAATTATTAAAAAGTCAGGAAACAACAGATGTTGGAGAGGATGTGGAGAAATAGGAATGCTTTTACACTGTTGGTGGGAGTGTAAATTAGTTCAACAATTGTGGAAGACAGTGTGGTGATTCCTCAAGGATCTAGAACCAGAAATGCCATTTGCCCCAGCAATCCCATTGCTGGTTATATACCCAAAGGATTATAAATAATTCTACTATAAAGACACATGCACAATATATTTGTTGCGGCACTATTCACAATACCAAAGACTAGGAGCAAATCCAAATGTCCATCAATGATAAACTGGATAGAGAAAATGTGGCACATATACACCATTGAATACTATGCAGCCATAAAAAAGAATGAGTTCATGTCCTTTGCAGGAACACGAATGAAGTTGGAAACAATCATTCTCAGCAAACTAACACAGGAACAGAAAACCAAACACTGAATGTTCTCACTCATAAGTAAGAGTTGAACGATGAGAACACATGGGCACAAGGAGGGGAACATCACATACTGGAGCCTGTTGGGAAGCAGGAAGCTAGGGGAGGGATAGCATTAGGAGAAATACCTAACGTAGATGAGGGGTTGATGGGTGCAGCAAACCACCATGGCACGTGTATAGCTATGTAACAAACCTGCATGTTCTGCACATGTATCCCAGAACCTAAAGTATATATAAAAACAAGATGATTTTAAAAAAGGTAACACAATTTTTCTTTTTAGTAGTCCTTGGGTAGTTATGACAGAATAGTTTCCACTTTTTGTTTGTTTCTTTGAACTGGGATTTTGGTCCAAAGTTTTGTTTGTTTCTAGTATCTGCTTCTGCCTCCCCCTCTATCAGATCGGCTTCCTCCACGGCCACCACCTCTTGGTGCTCCGCGGCTTGAACTGCTGTAGGAATCACGTGGAGGAGGGTACCCCCTTTCCATAGAAGGGGGAAGCCCTCTTTCTTGTCTGCCAACCCAATCACGACCACTTGAGTAGAGATCACTTCGGCTGCTTGAGTAACTGTCTCGACTTCCACCATATCCGTCACGTGAGCTGCTGTAATCATCATAGCGACTGCTTCCACCATAAGATGGCGGGGGCCCTCGTGTAGGTGGAGCACTACGTGAGTTACCATAACTCTCATATGAGTCTCTGTAGGAACCTCCACTTGGATGATCTGAATAGTCACGATCACGACCATATCCATCTCTATCGCTATAGCCTCTTGATGGATAGTCATCACGTGAACTGGAATGACCATAGTCACGGTAAGTATAATCTCGTGGTGGTCCCTGTTAAGTTCCCCTCCATAATTTTTATGTTCTTGTGAGGAAAAAAGTAAAACATGTTTAATATTATTTGACTTTATGACATTGCTTTTCAACAAGCAAATGTTAAATGTGTTAAGACTTGTTGTACTAGTGTTGTAACTTTCCAAGTTAAAGTGTCCCTAAAGGCCACTTCCTATATGATTTTTCCCAGTAAGTGAGGCAAGCAATTCTAAGATCTTCCACAAAACATCTAGCCATCTAAAATGGAGAGATGAATCATTCTGCCTATACAAACAAACTAGCTGTTAGAGGGTGGTTGGGGTATGCTACTCATAAGATTTCAGGGTGTCTTCCAACTAAAACCTCCATGATCTCAGTATGAAAAACCTGAAATCAGATGCCTATGTAAGGAAATAATCGCCCAGTAAACCCAAAAATGCAAATGGATAATGCTGGCCATTTTGCCTTTCTGACATTTCCTTGGGAATCTGCAAGAACCTCCCCTTTCCCCTCCCACAATGAGACCATTTAAGTGTGTGTTAAACAACTACAGAATACTAAATAAAAAGTTTGGCCAAAACCAAAAAAAAAAAAAAAAAAAAAAAAAAAAAAAACAAGATGATTTATGTAAGTTGATCTTGTAAGTTTTGTAAGTTCATCTGTGATTTTGCTGAACTCTTTTATTATTTGGATAGTAAATTCCTTTATTAGTTCAATTAATTTTTTCTTTTTAAAATAAACTTTTAGTTTTAAAATGGTTTTTGATTTATAGAATTATTGTAAAGATAGTACAGAGTTTCTAAATACCCCATTCAAATAGATTTGTTATTTGTATTTGGATCCTTAGAATTTTCTATGTATAGAATCATGTCTTAGGCAAATAGAGTTTTACTTCATTCTTCCCCCCCCCCCCAAAAAAAAAAAACGAAGTTATAAATAGCATTTCAACATTTCAATTGCCTGCTTTGTCCATTGTTTAAGTCTCATTATGTTTCTTCTTTGCCCTCTAGACTAAGTGAAGGCTCATCGTGGAAGCCAATCACAGAAGTGTCTCTCTATACAAGTCACATGAGAGACTAGCCTTGAACCAAGTGTTGCCCTGGCATCCTTTGTCATACTTGTCCTTTGATAACCTTTAGGCAATATTTATCTCAACTTACCATTTTTCCCTAAGTGGTGACTTAACCATGATCATGGTTTTATAAACAATTTGTTTAGACGTGGGAAGACTAATAGTAGTGTCATCAAAACATGAACTATAACCTGATGTATCAGCTTTCAAACAAAGTATACCTTTCTATGATCAATTTGTGCAAGTTATAGAATCCTCAGAGCTCTGTCTAATATTCTTGCCTTCAGTAGTAGTCAATGTACCTATGGCTAACTAAAACTTTTAATGACTTTTGCTTATAGATTGTTTTCTGACTTTATTAACTTAAACATATGTGCTAGTAATGGATACACATTGTACAAAATCAAAGAGGACAGAGGCATATAAAAAAAATTAACATCCTTTCCCTTCCCTGAAGATGAACATATCTCTTCCAAAACTAATGCTGTGGAGGTAATCAACATTAAGAATTTGGTGCATATCCTTTAACACCTTTATCTCTGCTTCTGCAAATATAAACCAGCATATATACATATATATCTTCTATTTCAGTAAAGTTTGGGTCTCCTACACATGTTTGTACTTACAGATTTTTAATTGTGGTAAAATATACATACCATAAAATTTATGTTAACAATTTATGTTAACCATTTTAACCATTTGCAAATAGTCTTGTCATCCTTGTTGAAAATCATTTGACCACATTCACATGCAGAAGAGTGAAATTAGACCATTATCTCACATCATATACAAAAGCCAACTCAGAATGGATTAAAGACTGAAATGTAAGAAAGACTCAAAATGATAAAACTATTAAAAGTAAACAAAGGAGAAGCTCCATGACTTTTGTCTGGCCAATGATATTGTGAACATGAACCGAAAGCATCAGCAAAAATAGACAAACGGGATTACATCAAACAAAAAAGCTTCTGCATAGGCAATAAAATACTCTACTCAGTGAGGAGACAACCCACAGAATGGGAGAAAATATTAACAAACCACATATCTGATGAGGGGTTAATATCCAAATATAGAAGAAACTCAAACAACTCAACTCCTGTACTAAGAAAACAAACAGTCTAATTTAAAAATGGGCAAATAATCTGAATAGGCATTTCTCAAAAGAAGATCTACAAATGGCTAACAGATATATGAAAAAGTTCTCAAAATCACAAATCACCAGATAATGCAAATTGAAACCACAATGAGGTGTTGTCTCACATCTGTTATAATGGTTATTATCAAAAAGACAAAAAGATAACAAGTGTTGGAGAGGCAATGGAGAAAAGAGAACTCTGGTACACTGTAGGTGGAAATGTAAATTAGTACAGCCATTATGGAAAACAATATGAAGATTCCTCAAAAAATTAAAAATAGGACTATCATATAATCAAGTAATCCCACTTCTGTGTATATACTCAGGGGAAGCTAAATCAGTATTTTGAAGAGACATCTGCATTCCCATGTTCATTGCAGCATTATTCCCAATAGCCAAGATATGGAAGCAACCTAAGTGTCCATGTCCATCATTGAATGAGTGGATAAAGAAAATGTGATACACATAAACACTCACACACTGGCATATTATTAGTCATAAAATAAGGAAATTCTGCTATTTGGGGCAACACAGATGAAACGTGAGAACATTATACTAAGTGAAATAAGTCAGACAAAGAAAAAGACGAATAATGCATTTTCTCACTTATATGTAGAATATAAAAAAGTTGAACTCATATAAGTAGAAAGTAGAATGGTGGTTACCAGGGGCTAGGGTGGTGGTGGAGTGTTTTCAGGAGATGTTGGTCAAAGGATCACAAAATTTCAGTTAGATAAAAGGAATAAATTCAAGAGATCAACACAGTGACTATAGTTAATAACAATATATTATATTCCTGAAAATTGCTAAGAGAATAGATTTTGTGTCTTCACAACAAAAAACATTATGTGAGGTAATGTGTATGTTAATTAGCTTGATTTAGCCATTGTATAAGATAGACATATTTCAAAACAATGTGTTGTACAAAATAAATACATATAATTTTTGTCAATTCAAATAAAGACATAAATGATAAATAAACTCATTTAACCATGTATGAATGTGAGGGTTTATTTCTGGGCTTTCTATTCTTTTCCATTGTTCTATATGTCTGTCATTATGTCATTATCACATTGTTATGATTACTGTCACTTTGCAGTAAATTTTGAAATAGGGAAATGTGGACCAACTTTGTTCATTTTTAAGATTGTTTTGGCTATGTAGGACCCCTTCTGATTTCATATGGATTTTAGGATGAACTTTTTTTATTTCTGAAAAACATCATTGGGATTATTATAGAAATTACATTAAATCTGTAGATTCTCTGGGTAGTATTGACATCTTAACAATATTAAATCCTGTAATCCATGATCCCAGGATGCCTTTTCATTTATTTGTATCTTCTTTAATTTATTTCAGTAACATTTTGTAGTGTCTGGTGTACAAGTTTTTCCCCTCTAAGGTTAAGTTTGTTCCTAAGTATTTTATTCTTCTTTTTTTTCCTGAGATGGGGTCTCAGTCTGTCACCCAGGCTGGAGTGCAGTGGTATGATCTCAGCTCACTGCAACCTCCACCTCCCAGGTTCAAGTGATTCTCATGCCTCAGCCTCCCCAGTAGCTGGGACCATAGCTGTCCACCAGCATGCTTGGCTAATTTTTCTATTTTTAGTAGTGACAGGGTTTCACTATGTTGGCCAGGCTGATCTCAAACTCCTAACCTCAGGTGATCCACCTGCTTCAGCCTAGCAAAGTGCTGGAATTACAGGTATGAGCCACTGCACCTGGCCATAAGCATTTCATTCTTTTGGTGTTATTGTCTATGGAATTGTTTTTAAATTTTTTAAATAGATTTTTCATGGTTAGTGTATAAAAATGCAACTGATTTTTGTGCATTGGTTTTGTATCTGTAACTTTACTGAATTTGTTTATTAGTTATAACTCTGTGCATGTGTGTGTAAAATCTTTAGATTTTTTTAACATACAAAGTCATATTATCTGTGAATGGAGATAATTTCTTTTCCAATTTGGATATCTTTTATTTCTTTTTCTTGCCTAGTTGCTCTGGCTAGGATTCCTAGTACTATGATACATAGAATGGGCAAAAGTGGGCATGTCTATCTTGTCCCTAATCTTAGAAAAAAACTGTTATTATGATGTTATCTCTGGGCTTTTCATATATGGCTTTAATTATGTTGAGGTCATTTGCTTCTATCCCTAGTTTGTTAGGCTTTTCAAAAAAAATCATGAGTTTTGACTTTTGTCAAATGCTTCTTCTGTATCAATAGAGATGAGCATGTGCTTTTTCCTCTTTATTCTACTAATGATTGATTTTTGTATGTTGAACCATCCTTGCATTCCAGCATAAAATTTCATTTGATTATAGCATTTGGTCCTTTTAATGTATTGTTTAATTCTATTTGCTTGTATTTTTAAGGATTTTTCATGAATATTCATTACGGATTTAGGTCTGTAGTTTTATTTTCATATAGTATCTTTGTCTTTCATGTAGATTATGCAATTTGTAGCTGTATTCTATACATATTACTCATTTTTAATAGCTCTATAATATTCCAGAGTATGATCATACCACAATTTATTAAACCATCCCTCACTGATAAAACCTCAATTATTTTTATTTTGTGCTTTTGAATTTAAAACCAATTATTGAATTTTAAGCTTAACTGGGTCCAGCTGTAGCTAATCATCTAAATGGTTACATGATGTATGGGACCAAATTCTTAACTCAGAATTAAATTAATTAAATTAAATGGGCTTCTCAAACTGGTTCTACCACTAAGTGACTGTATGACCTTAAAAAGGTCATGTAATTCCACTGAATATTGGTTTAATTATCTGTAAAATGATATGATCTCTCAGACACCTTTCAGGGCTCTACCGGATTGTCCATTCCTTAAAAGCATAATCTGCCTATGTCTAGTTCATCTGGGCATCCTTTGTGGTGCCTTATGCACCATTTTGCACATAGATGTTCAGTAAATGCTTGTTAATAACAGAGGGAATGAATGACTAGCAATGTGCAGTAATTTTGAAAAGCCAAATTTACATTTTAGCTAAGTTACTTGTCATTTTCTATTTATTTTTTCTTTTAGCAGGAGCTTCTTAGGTAGTGATATTCATAATTACGATCAAAGGGCAAGAGGACAGAACAAGTCTTCATTTCTGTTCTGTTGTTCAAGGGAGTTTTCTGGATTAGATTAGGTCTCTAGATAATACGTTGGGAAAATTGATTCTCTGCTTTGCAAATGTTATTCTTTGTTCATGCTAATTTTCTGATTTTCACTAATCATTGAATAAAGCATTGTAATTTTAACCTAAGTTTAAAAAAATACCTTTGATACTCTTAGTTCTACATCCAAGGAACCATGAATTAATTCCAATCCTTTTTCTAAAACTATTCAAATTCATAAAGCATTCTCTGATATTTGTGTTTAAATGTATATAAATTTATTCTGTACGTGTATTATATATAAAAACATATTTATGCATAAGCATATGTTTATTTTGAGGTGAGCATTTTAAACCAAAGTATATATGTTTATTCTTAAAATAGAGTAAAATTATTGTTATCTTCACTTCTGTTTAGAAACTGGGAGAAAATTTAGAGTAAAAATTTCCATCTAATTGAGAGCATATTTCCTCAGAGAGCCTTTTCCACCTTATATTTCTCTTCTGCTCCTTCACAAGGTTACATGTGAATGGAAGAGAATGATTTACTAGCACACATTACCATCATTTGACAAATGCCTGAAAGAACATTTCTCTAAACAGAAAGGAAAAATAAGTAATATTCTGGCTCTAGATTCAGAGATTTTTATTTTTAACTTTTTTCAAGATGAAGTCTTGCTCTGTTGCCCAGTCTGGAAGGCAATGGGGTGATCTCAGCTCACTGCAACCTCCACCTCCTGGGTTCAGTTGATTCTTCTGCCTCAGCCCTCCGAGTAGCTGGGATTACAGGCGTGTGTCACCATGCTCAGCTATTTTTTTGTATTTTAGTAGAGATGGAGTTTCACCATGTTGGCCAAGCTGGTCTTAAACTCCTGACTTTGTGATCTGCCCACCTCGGCCTCCCAAAGTGCTGGGATTACAGGTGTGAGCCACCACACCCAGCCAGGGATTTTGATTTCTTTAACTTCATAGTTGTGTGAAAGCACTGTGTAAGGTTAGGTTATGGCGACAGAGCCTTTGCCATTTCTGAGGCCCTACGTAACTACCTTTACTGTATCTTTTTACAGGCGTTAACCTCCAATGGACCTCTGGGTACCAAATTTCCTAATGTGGTTTCAGAAGAGAAGGGATATCAAAAGCAGATTAAAAATTTTTCATATGGTGTTCTATGAAATATACATCCTGAGTACATTCAATAAAAAAGAGATATGTTTGTTGCACCAATAGTTATAGTTTATTAGACCTTGTTATATTATTTCTCTTTCATACAGAGTGCAATTCAGGGCAGTAGAATAGAGTAAGTGAGTGTCCTGAGAAGGACAGACAGCTCTTCCAATGGTCTTGGTGATGCTGAGCCTCAGAGCATGGGCTTCGGTGCTTATAAATTAGCTTTTTCATTTCTTGCGTCAAATTTGTATTTTGGCATCCTCAGAGAGATCACAGTCTTTTCCGGACCACAAAGGAATCAGATAATTCTGAGGCCTAAATATATGGTAACCCCCATAACAAAAGCCAAATTAAAGTTCAAGAATTTGTTAGTGGTCCACAAGTGCTTGAAGAAATAATTAGTTCATGAATTGAACTGGAAGTGGAAATTTCAAGTTGAAAATCGGCAACCTGGCTGTTAGCAGCTGGGCTCACAGCAGGTGGGCTCACAGCAGGAGCAGCAGCAGACTGGGCGGCAGCAGGACTGTCCACAGTAGGATGGGCGGCAGCAGGAGGCCTGGGCATGGTGCAGCTGGCAGCAGGATGGGGGTGTGCAGCTCACTACACAGCAGGGGGGCAGGCAGGTGCCCTCCACGCGGCAATCTGGGCGGCACCACCTGATACGGGAGCTCACAGCTCCACGGCCGCCCTCCTGGCCATAGCCAATGCTACCACCAATGCCACAGCCGGTTCCGCAGGAGCTGGTCTGGCAGCAGCTTGGCTGGCAGCAGCTGGTCTGACAGCAGCTTGGCTGGCAGCAGCTGGAGCCGCAGGTCCTACCAGTAGAGCAGCTGGGAAATCCGCAGAAGCTGGTCTGGCAGCAGCTTGGTGGGCAGCAGCTGGTCTGACAACAGCTTGGCTGGCAGCAGCTGGAGCCCCAGGTCGCACCGGTGGAACAGCTGGGAAATCCGCAGCAGGTGTTCTGACAGCAGGCCATGGTGTCGGGAGTTGGTCTGAAGGTTGTGTTGCTTGGAGGAGTTTTTGAGTTTTGGTGATGGCTGCCACACTGGGCCTTTTATAAGCCTTGGCCAGCTACTGTTTACATAATTCCTGAAGTCTCTTCCTTGTTTGTGTTTGATAATTTGTCTCTGAATGATAATTGGCCTTTCCCTGAGTTATTTGTTGAACCTTCTGAAAGCCTTTAAAAATTGATTTTATTTGGTATGCAATTAGGCTTCTTTACCATGGACAAGTAGTCACTGGCATTAATTAGGAATATAATCCCTAACTCCCCATGTTTGTTAAAATTTTCTCTTTGTCAGGGAATAACTGACTGATGCCTCACGTTTAAGGACTGTCAATATTACTCAGTATTGTTGACCCTTACAACTGGGTTATTCGGTCTCACATGACAGTTTAATTCTCTCCAATTTTAACTGCGGCTCCTTCTCACCTTCCTTATCTTCACTTTGACTGTAAAGCAAGGCTATAGTCAGCTGGCCAGAAAGGGATGCTTTCTTGGGCCTGGGAGATTTACATTAATTTTTATTGATAACATTTTTCCATCACTGACTGTGTGCCTAAATGGTTCCAAGTATTTCACATGTATCAATTTGCTAAATTTTCACAGCAATCTATGGACTAGGTATCATTGCCACTCCTATCATCCATGTGAGAAAACTGAGCCACAAGTAACTCACCCAAGTTCACATTAATATCTAGTGAATCTGAAGTTTGAATCCACACCATTTGATTCCAGACTAAACTCTTTAAAAACTATAGTCAATTCTTTTTTTCCTTCCTTCCTTCCTTTCTTCCTACCTTCCTTTCTTTCTTTCTTTTGTTCTTTCCTTCTTTCTTCTTTTTTTTAATGTGAGCAGTCATTCTAAGAAAATTTCAAGGGTGAAAGCAAGATGTAAAACTTGGCTTCCTTACTTACGGATTTTTTTGTGAGTCAAAGGAAGGAAGGGAGAGCTTAGGGTAAGCAATAACACTGTTTGCTAGAGACATTCCTGGAGATATTATTTTTTTTGACAGCATAATAAGGACACTTCAAGAAAATACCGAGTGCTAAAAAAGTTAACCTACTTGACTTGTAACTTTGTCTCATCTTTTATCTTAGGATATTCTATAGATTTAGATGTTTTTTAACTGCATAAATTTATACTTTTAACTTATCAATACTGGAGATGTGATTTACTACTGTGTGTTCAATCTGCTGTATGCGGTTTATTGCAGATGTAAGAGACTAATCCAGTTAACTGGAAAGTTCATATAATTTGAATAAGACAGCTGATGATGGTGAAGATAAAGGTTTTGTTTAGGTGCAATAAAAGGTGGCCAGGCTTCCATGGAGTATGGGCTCTGTTACAGAGAAATACAAGCTACAATGTTACTCTTGGGTTTTGACCCAGAGCAACAAGCGGTAGTTCTGCTCCTCTAGAAATGACAGCTTTGAGTTTACATCATAACTCTTTCTGAGTCAGAGCTAAGACATATTTTCACATCCCACATCAAATTTGGTTTAAAAGATGATTCTTTGTGAATTCCTTGCTTCTTCTTAAGCAAAGCTACATCACAGATTCTTTGATTAGCTAATTTGTTTTCTATTGGATGCTTGAAATATGTGGATGTGTCATGATAACAATCTCAGGAGCTATTTAATTCAGATCTAAATTTAGCAGAATCCGTGACACTGCAAAGATGTGTCTCCCTTTTCAGAAGGCTTAGGTGTCTGAGGACTTGAAATACATTATTGACAAGGGCACTGGAGACAGTGGCGTTGCATATCAGTTCTCCCTTTCTGGGCTTTTTTACTCTGGCGCTGTTTTTGACATCTTCCTCATTGCAAAACTTAAGATATGACACTTACTTGAGAATTTGACTCCTATGCCACAGAATGAAGACTAATCCGAACATTCCCTTACCTCCTCTAAGTAAATCAAGAAAATGAAATTTATTTTATTTCACTTTACATAATGTCCTCCAAGCTTAGGTGTGTTGTAATGTGTGACAGAATGTTCTTCTTTTTATAGAGTGAATAGTATTCCTTTGTGTGTACATACCACATTTCTTATTACTGTGGGTATTCCCTCTGGCTTTTATTACTTCATTTAAGTTATGGGCTCCAGACCATTCCAGTATCATATGAAGAAAGAGTATGTTTGTCTGTTATTCTTGAACATTGGACTTTTGTTTGTCACGGATACTAATGTCTGAAATTATTTTTCTTTAAGATATCATGGTTCTGATTTCCTAGTTACAAGTTCTGGGGGTTCTCCCAATACCTTCATCTCCATTTTACTAGTTCTCTAATTCAGCTATGACTACCTTACTTGGATTCTTGAGAAATAAAATATATTGATGTCCCAGTCAAATGAATACGGCATTCCTACATAGGGCTTCTGTGCTTCTGCTCTGGGCTTCCATCCTAGTGATCTAGAATGGACAACACATAAACTTCAAAGACCTCCTCTTACTCCCAATGTTTATCTTAAGCCAAGTCACATGATCTAGCTCTTCCCTCCTGAATGCCAACCAGGCTTTTCTGGAGGTGCTGCTGAGCCAAAGTCCTTTTAATAAAGGTACATCAAATCTAAACCTTCTCATCCTGACGGGAGATGACAGAGCTCTAAACGAGAGGAATAAAATGTTGAACACATTGTAGGGCCATTGAGTATAGATGTACAGGTCGTGCCCTGATGTGGGGCTCTGTGGCTTTGTCCACTCAGAGGAAGGAGCACATTATTTTTCATATCAAGCTGGAGGCTCAACATGCTGTGCACTCCTCTATTTGTATCTACCCCAAAGTGGTGCCTTTTCCTCATTCTTATAAAGTTGTGCTAGTAGAGGTCCTGTTCTTTGATTTTTTTTAATTGAGGTGAAATTCACATAACCTGCAATTAACTATTTTAAAAATGGAGTGACATTTAGTGTATTCATAATGCTGTGCCACATCGTCTCTCTCTACTTTTGGAGTGTAAATTAGTTCAACCATTGTGGAAGACAGTGTGGCGATTCCTCAAGGATCTAGAACTATAAATACCATTTGATCCAGCAATTCCATTACTGGGTATATACACAGAGGATTATAAATCATTCTACTATAAAGACACATGCACATGTATGTTTATTGTGACACTGTTCACAATAGCAAAGACTTGGAACCAACCCAAGTGGCCATCAAAGATAGACTGGATAAAGAAAATGTGGCACATGTACACCATGGAATACTGTGCAGCCATAAAAAAGAATGAGTTCATGTCCTTTGCTGGGACATGGATGAAGCTGGAAACCATCATTCTCAGCAAACTGACACAAGAACAGAAAACCAAACATCTCATGTTCTCTCATAAGCGGGAGTTGAACAATGAAAACACATGGGCACAGGGAGGGGAACATCACACACTGAGGCCTGTCGGAGGATGGGGGCCAGGGGAGGAATAGCATTAGGAGAAATCCTAACATAGATGACGAGTTGATGGGATGCGGTAAACCACCATGGCACATGTATACCTGTATATCAAATCTGCACGTTCTGCACATGTACCCTAGAACTTGAAGTGTAATTATACAGTAATAATAATAATAATAATAATAATGAATTTTTCCATTCCAGAAGAACCCCACATAACCTTCAGGCAATCACTTCCCATACCTCTCTATCCCCAGTCACTGGCTCACCACTTTGATTTGATGACCAAAGATTTTATACCTTGGAATGAAAGCCTCATTATATGTCTTTTATTTAATGCTTGCTTCATTCTAGAGCTCTCTCTGAAAATTAGAATGAGAATGGTGATAGTATATAGCCACACTCATTTAAATTCATCCTTGTGGTGAAAATTCACTTTCTGCTTCACAATACACAAGAAGATTGCACAGGCGTTATAAAATTATCAGTTGATAATCCCTCTCATCATTTTTCAAAGTATATTTTGAGTATTGGTGTTACAGGATGTTAACAGGTAATATGAAAATAGGGAGTCTTCCAGCTACGTTAGTTTGAGAGTGATGGTTATAGAGTTTTTTTTTTCTTTTTAAGACAGACTCTCACTCTGTCATCCAGGGTATAATGCAGTGGCACGATCTTGTTTCACTGCAACCTCCACCTCCTGGATTCAGACGATTCTCCTGCCTCAGCCTCCCGAGTAGCTGAGACCCCAGGTGCCTGCCATGACACCTGGCTAATTTTTGTATTTTTAGTAGAGATGGAGTTGCCCTGTTTGCCATGCTGGTCTCAAACTCATGACCTCAGGTGATCCACCCACCTCAGCCTCCGAAAGTGCTGGGATGATAGCTGTGAGCGACTAAGCCCAGCCACTGGTTATAGAGCTTTCTTTATTGCAAGGCATCTCAATTCCTTTAATATTCCAATATGGCTTTATAAACTTGCAAGACGGTGATAATCCATACAACATTATTTGATTGCTCTATATTTTTTCCTCTTTGAGTATCTGAAGCAATTACTAGTCAATGTGTCACCTGTTTAGGAAATTATCTACTCTCTTATGCCCGGAAGGATATTGTCAGTAATGACTCAGTTCTCTCATTTTCCAAGTTAGAAATAGGTACCCAGGCAAGCAAAGGGACTTGTTCAAGGATTCAAGGATAGTTAGTTACAACACTGGGACTAGAACTCAGGAGTCTTTAGCTTTTTGTTTTTCTACCCAATAGCATAAAATGTAAAAAACAGCCTTTACATCTTAGGCTATTATGCTTCGTGTAAAAATAACTTTTACATCTTATGCTATTGGGTGGGAAAAAAACCACAGTCAAATGTTTTTTATATTCTCTCACTCAATGACAATCAACACAGAAAACGTCTGTGGTCAAATGTGTGGGTATTTCTCCCCATCAATAAGCAAGGAAATAAATTCTGCAACAGATACCAGCTGTGTGTTCTCCACTCCAGATCTATTCTAACGCTATTTACGTGGCAATAGCATCAGGTTTTACAGGGCAAGGGCTTAGTCCCATAAGACTGCCCCCTGCTTCCAGTGCCAAGCACAGGCTCCAGGTTGTTTTGCCTGTGCTTCTGATCGACCAGTCATGAATTGGGAATTCCACGACACCCTCCTTAAGTTTGATTAATGTGCGAGAGTGGCTCCCAGAACTCAGGGAAACACTTAGCTTATTGGTTTATAATAAAGAAATTACAAAAGGTACAGAGGAAGTGATGTATAGGGTGAGGTATGGGGGAAGGGGTGAGGAGCTTTCATACCCTTTCTGGGCACAGCACCTTCCAGGACCCTCCACACATATTCAGCTATCTGGAAGCTCCTCAAACTCTGTGGCTTTTTTTTTTTTTTTTTTTTTTTTACATTTTATGGAGACTTCAGTGGATAGGCATGATGGACAACCATTAGAAACGTGATTGGACAAAAAGGATATGATCTAATGCTAGTAGAGTGAGTGGTGAAACCCAGTAAAGCCTGTCTGTTCAGATCCTTCTTGGTCTCTCTGTGTAGCCTTCCTTCCTCCAGGACATAGGGCAGAACCTCTTCTGAAATGGGAAATCTTATGACCTACAATCAGACAAGGTAGGTAGGAGAATATCTTCATGGACAGTGCCAAAAACAGTGAGGGAAGACTCTTGCCTTGAAGAGTAAAAGGAGCAGGTAAAAAGAGGGAGGAGAATGCGAGAGAGAGAGAGAGACAGACAGAGACAGAGAGACAGAGACAGAGAGACAGAGAGATGGAGAGAGACAGAGAGATGGAGAGAGAAAGAGAGAGAGAGAGACGGAGAGATGGAGAAAGAAAGAGAGAGAGAGA